TTGTTTCGTTCTGCTGTGCATGGGGTCGCTATGAGTCGGTTCCGACTCGATGGTACCTGACAACAACAACAACAACAACAACAACAACAGTTTCTGGTGCAGCCTAAATTTAGTGAATCAAAAACTCCAGAGGTAGTACTTAAAAATCTGTATTTCAACAAATGGCTAGGCGATTCAGATGCTCACTAGGGTTTGAGAACCACTGGAATAGGAAATAAACTGAGAAGCTGAATTATATGAAGAAGGATGTGGCATCAGGATTGGAAGAAGACTCATTAGCAGCCTGGGATATGCAGATGATACAACCTTGGGCTGGAAGCGAAGAGGACTTAAAATACTTACTGATGATGATCAAAGATCATAACCTTCATTATGGATTGCACCTCAATGTAAAGAAAACAAAATTCCTCACAACTGGGCCAATAAATAACTGGAGAAAAGATTGAAGCTGTCAAAGACTTCATTTTGTTTTGATCCACAATCAACACTCATGGAAGCAGCAGTCAAGAAATCAAATGATGTGTTTGTTGCATTAGGCAAATCTGCTGCACAAGACCTCTTTAAAATGTTCAAGAGCAAAGATATTAGTTTGAGGACTAAGGTGCACCTGACCCAAGCCATGATATTTTCAATCATCTCATATGCATGTGAAAATTGTATAATAAATGAGGAAAACCATAGAAGAATCGCTGCATTTGAATTATGGTATTGGAGAGGCATATTAAAAGTACCGTGAACTACCAGAAGAACAAACAAATCCATGTTGGATAAAGTACAGCCAGAATTCTCACTAGAAGCCAGGATGTTGAGACTTCATCTTTCATACTTCGGCTATATTATTTAGGGGGAATCAGTCCCTGGAGAAGGACATCATTCTTGGTAAATTGGGGGGGGTCAACAAAACAGAAGACCTCCAAGGAGATTGATTGGCACAGTGGCAGCAGCAGTGGGCTTAAGCATAGCATCAGTTATGAGGCTGGCTCAGGACTGGGCAGTTTTTCGCTGTGTTGTGCGCTCTAAGTTGAAATGGACTTGACAGCCCTAACAACAGCAGCAAGGAAAGGAAATAAACAAGAATAGTGACATGGGGTGGGGGACACACTCAACAATTGCTGTTAAGTCAATTCAGACTCATAGTGACCCAGTGGTTAAAGAGAAAGAGGTGGCTGTCTGCTTCTGAAATGATTGCAGCCTAGGAAACCCTTAGGGGAGGTTCTACACTGTCTTATAGGGTTGGAGTTGACTTGATGGCAAAAGGTTTGGTGATGGTGGTGTTAGGTGTCATCACGTCAGTTCCGACTCATAACAGCCTTATGTTAAAAAAAAAAATTGGTATCAAGGAGTCCCTTGGTGGTGCAAATGGCTGCTAATGGAAAAGCAGCAAGTTCAAATTCACCTTGTAAAAGGCTTGCCAATCTACTTCTGAAAATTCAGCTATTGAAAATCCTGTGAAACATAGTTATACGCTGAAGCAGAATTGACTTAATGGCAACTGGGGTTTGAAATTTGTTTTCAGTGACATTAAAGCTTTATTATCTCCTTGGGCTTTGGGGAGGGGGATGGGTAGGAGGGAAAAAGGGAAATTTGTGCTAAAACGAGAAAATTTCCCAAACTCTCATTGATTTGAAGGGTGCTGATTTGACCTTTCTTGTGAATATTGGCATGCAGTGCTTTCACTTGAACAGGAAAAGGTAAAAACATTCACAGGCCTCTCCACCAGGAGACAAGTTAAAATGCTAATTAGGTTACTGAGTGAGACCAATCCTCTCTGCCCAGGAGTCAAGCTAGAATGTTAATCAGGTTATTGAGTGGGACCAATCCTCTGGTTTCCCTCCTGTCTTCAAATAAGTCCGCAACCTAACCCCTTCCTGATTCTGACCCCATATAAATCTGCACTGCCCTGTATTCTGTGCTCAGGATCTGGAGAAGCTAGCTCCTCTGAACCAGCCGGCTTAATAAAAACCTGAAACTCAGTTTTACCTCTCCAAGTGGCCTCAGTTTCTTCTATGAGAGATCAAGAGCTGCTGTGACACTCTCAGGCCCAGGGCTGCTGTGACATTATCAAATCTAAAACTGCTGTAACAACCAAATTCAAGACTCTAAGTCTTCTCACTGCAGGTTGGTCACAGCTCACTGCTTGTAAATAACCATGGAAATCACTACTTAGTATTGCTCTTGTTGGTGTTGTTAAATATCATCGAGTAGGTTCCAACCTCTAGTGATCTTGAACCGCTGACTTTGCGGTCCAAACTGACTTTGTAGTCCAACTCATTAGCCCACAGTGCCACGCCAATACTCCTCTACTTAGTACAGAATAGGAAAAAAATTCTGACAATAGACCTTAAGACCTCTGGGGTGGAAATTGATACAAATAGTTTTTAAAATTCCTTGGCACTCTCTTTTTCTTTCCTTCAAAGACTTGAAATCCTTTTTTTTTCTTTTTTACATTAGCATTTATCATTCAGGACAGGCAAATGCCTTCCTTAGTTTTCTGCAGTGATGTTTTACTTTCTGAAAAACCTTTATGAAACTCAGTTGGAGCCTGCCCCTTTGTCATGAGACAGGAAATCTGTTTGGATTGATTTGGTCATTGTTCAGGCTTGGCTGAAATGTTCTGTACTGCCTAAGACTGTCATTGCACTTGGCCAAGACCTTGGAGCCTCATCACTGTTCACATTCTGTCTCTGTGATTTATGACATGGGACATTTGAAGCCTAGAGAGCACTTTCCTGGTTATTGGCATTCCACGGTAAAAATGGATGTGACAGGAGCCTTGGCTTAGCGGAGACCTGGCTTTAAAGGTTAACCAAATCCAGGGATTAGGTTATCATGGTGTCTTGTTATCTGATATCCAGAAACAGTGAAAGCTTTTTAAATACTGTGTAAAAATCATTTTTTAAAAACCAGGATGCCAACTGAAAAAAAGGATAAAAGATGAAAACATACAAAATGAAGTTCAGGATGAAATTCCAGATCCGGAAATTTGCACATTTATCCTTAGAGTATTTTTATTATTTCCTTCCCCACATATTGGTCCAAAAGAAGTAAAAGGTTCATGGTGTTATTTCACAGGTCAAAGAAAATACTATGACTTTGAGACGATAGATATTAATTCATTATTCAAGAGCCATTTATGTGACTCATTTCATTTATTCCTCATTCCCACCACCTGTCAATTTGTCATACTGTGGTGGTTTGTGTGCTGCTATGATGCTGGAAGCTATACCACCAAAATTTCAAATACCAGCAAGGTCACTCATGGTAGACAGGTTTCAGTTGGAACTTCCAGACTAAGACAGATGAGAAAGAAAGACCTGGTGATTTACTTCCAAAAATTAGCCAATGAAAACCTCATAGATCACAACAGTGTCTGACTGACTGCTTTAGATATGTCATCAGGAAGGATTAATTGCTGGAGGAGGCCATTGTGTTTGGTGAAGTGAGGGCCATGATGAGTAGGAGACCCTCAGGAAACCAGACTGACCCATGCTGGTCAGAGTAAGGATGATGCAGGACAGGGCAATGTTTAGTTCTATCGTGTATAAGCTTAGCACAAGTTAACCTGATGGCAGCTGAGAATAATGTTCTCATTCAACCTTATAAGGTGAATGCTGTTTTCAGCGCCATTTGCCAGATGAGAACACTGAGGCACCAAGAAGATAAGGAACAGGCAGTCCAGCTTCAGAGATCATGTTCAGTGTGATGTGACCCTGTACCAAGTATCTCGAGATTCTGTTTCCACTCCTGCAAGAAGCAGGGGGGATAAAGAACAGTTTCTGCTACCTGGGAACATAATATACCAACTTCAGCATTATGTGTTATACCCAGGTGCTTCCAGGGAAGAGCTCATAGTCTAGTTCAGGGTCTTAGGATATGAAAATATGCCAAAAAGTCCAATGATTTTGGGATCAATCAGAGGCATATCTATGGAAAATAGTACCTATAGTTAACTGATGATCTTGCACAACTGATGATGGAGAATAAAAACTACTCATTGACACTGCCCCTTAGCCCCAAGTGTGACCCAGGATATGTGCCATACCTGCCATATGTCCCTGGGCTCAATATATCTTGTTGTTAAATGCCTTCAAGTTGGTTCTGACTCATAGCAACCCTGTATACGGTTTCTGAGGAGTGGCTGGTAAACTTGAACTGCCGACCTTGTGGTTCAAACTGACTTTGCAGTTCAATGCATTTTCCTGCAGCACCACACCAACCATCATTATCATCATCATTTTCATTAGTACCATCATCACCACCACCATCATCATCATCGAATACTGCATCATTTCCCAAGAAGTCACTACAATCAAGCAGCTCTGACCACCCCAGCAGGGAGTGACAGCAGCTGGATTTCTAAAGATACTTGTGTTCATTTCAAATATTCCATTTGTTGGAATATTATCCAACAAACCTAGGCAGGGACCTAGGCTCCCTCATCTGCATATCTAATACCCTTTCAGAGTAAGAAAAAGAGAGATGTGGAGTTGCCTGGTGACTTTTTGTGATACCCTTAAGATTTCCTCTCCCTTTCATTAATCTACAGCCTTATGATGACTGGAACGCAATCTAAATCCCAGGATGTAGTGAGTGACCATGCAGCTGATGCTGTCTCATGGTGACTCCATGCGTGTCAGAGTAGAATTGCGCTCCATAGGGTTTGCAATGACTGATTTTTCCAAAGTAGATCACCAAGGCCTTTTTTGGGGAACATCTCTGGGTGAACTTGAACCTCAAACCTTTTGGTTATCAGCTGAGCATGTTAAACCTTTGTATCACTCAGGTACTCCTCTAAGGACATAAAAGCATATTATTATTTGACTTGTCATGCACTAAGAACACATCAGAGCTGAACTTTAGCACTTTGGTGTGTGTGCTGAGTTCTAACCCATGACCAAAAAGAAATGCAAGCATTGTTTTCATTAATATCGATTTTCAGTGTTAAGTCCATCCAGCAATTTCAGTGATAAAATTATAAAATTCAACCCAGCTGTATCTACCTTGGCTGTCTTGATGATTTTCTTCAAGGAGTCCTCCTGCTTCTTCTTGATGGTCCAGTCTATCTCTAGTTTCCTGTTAGAAGAACACACAAGATCAAATAGGTACAAACACTCCTGTGGGCTGTGCTCTGTAGTAAAAGGAATCTAGTTTCCTTAGTTGCGTTGTCTCCTTTTAACATAAATGACCAAGAGGGCTGCTGTAAGTGTGAATGGTCTTAGAGAGCCAGGCAGGCTTGGCAGTGAAATTGAGCACTGCTGGGGTCTTTGTTGTTTTTATCTGGTTGGGGACTTCTCCTATTCATCTCTGCAGGACTCAGTGCCTAGTAAAGGTAGGAGTTAATGGAAAAGAAGATGTGGAAGAGGAAAGAAGAATGTCACAGGAAGAGGTTAACTGGCAAAAGGAAGCAGGGCACCTTCAGGGACTTGAAGGAAGGCTGGTATCAGTGAAGCAGAGAGAGGGGGAAGTGTGAAGGGTGGGGAGGAGTCAGACCCCCAAGCCTTGGTAGGCAACTTAGGGACTTTGATCTTTATCCTGAGAACTATCTCAAAGCACTGCTGGTTTAAAGCAGAGGAGACCAGGGGAAAACTGGCTTTTTGTGGAGTGCCCAGATTGCTACAATTGAGTCTCTTATCATACTTAATCCTTCTTCCATCTTTCCCTGAGTCATAGGCTGCTTGCAATCCCACCTCCAAGGGACATCCATAGGCTGCACATGAGAATTTTTTGGGGGAGTTTTACAAAATATGATTCCCAAGATCTAACCCCCCAAAATAAAAGTGAGACACCTTAGGCACTATGGGTTAATGCGCTAAGCTTCAAGGTTGCTTTGAACCTCAAGGTTGGCGGTTCTAGCTCACCAGCCGCTTCTCGGAAACCCTATACAGGGTTGCTATGAATCAGAACTGACTTGATGTCACTTAACAACAACAATCCCAAATAATAAAAGTGAGACTCCTTAGGGTTGGGCATTTTTAACGCTTCTTGGGTGATTCAGGAGCATTGGTGGCAGAGTGGGATAAGTATGGGGCTGCCACAAAGTCAGCGGTTCAAACGTAACAACTGCTCCCTGGAAGAAAGAGGCTTTCTGTAAAGATTAAAGCTTCAAAAAACCTAGCTTGGAGAACAAACAAGATGTAGGATTGGGTGGAAGTGCAGTAAGGAGGTCCATTAGCAACAACACAGAATACAGGACCAAGTAGGCTCAGGAGATGGTCCCAGAACTCTGAACCACATATAAAGGAATATTTAGCAGGTTGAAAGACTTACAGGTAGGGGAATTTGTAGCAGAAATAAGAAATCCATTGCTTTCTATCAAGACGTTCAGCTGCTCCAGGAGCCGCCATCTTGGGTGAGACCAAGCGGGGAAGGATCAGAACAGTCACGGACGCCTGGTAGAACCTTGGCGATAAAGGTGTGGACATTCTTTTCTTTTGGTCTCTGTTCATTGGTCCGTTTCTGTCTGCACACCTCCATTCTGGTGACTATAGGGGTGCCTGAGTTAATCCCACACTGCCACCAATATTCCTGAATCACCCAAGAAGCCTAAGTGGACACCCCAGCCCCACCCTCGGAGGGTTCTACTACGCATGCGCACAGATCGCCTCAAAATTTAAAGAGACAGTTTCCACTTAAAACCAAACAGCCACAGCCAGCCCTGAACTATTTATAACTAGAAAAAAGGCCTGAAGAGAGAACAAACAAGATGGCAAATCGGGTGGGCATATAGCAGAGAGCTCCACCAACAACAACACAGAATACCTGACCAAGCAGGATCAGGGGATGGTCCCAGAACTCTGAACCACATATAAAGGAATACTTAGAAGGTTGGAAGGCTCACAGCTGGGGGAATTTGTGGCAGA